AAAAACATCAACAGCTCTGCAGGTTGTCCTGTTGGGTATCATTGCCAGGACCAACATGGCCTTCATATCCTCAGTCCCTTCCCCAGGTCCCAGCACCTCCAGCTCATCAGCTGGGGGAAGCTGAGGCAGCAGACAGGGAACACACTTAAGCCTTTGTATTTCTGCCCCAGCTGAAAGAGCCTGAAGGGGGAAGTGACATCCATGAGCCCCTCGCCAAAAGAAAAGACCAAACCCGGGCTCCAAGCACCCTGCAGCAGGACCCCCAGGCAGGAGGGGTGCTGGCCAGGGGCAGTGGAGGAGCCCCAGCCCGTGGGAAGTGCAGGGATCAGAGCTGGGCACGTACCCTCCAAGGCTTTATCCAGGTCCGCGATGAACTCCTCCAGCTCCTGCGTGTCACCAAGCTTAGCTAGTGGGGAGAAACATGGTCAGGTCTTCCCATTCCTCCTCTTACTTGGGAGAGGAAAGACCCCCTACCCCTTGTTCCTAACCACAGCTGCTCCAGCTGCAGCTGTTTCCATCCCATTTCCACTCCTGACCGGGAACACACTAATCCAGCTTGATGGCTGTTCCAGGATCCTGCCAGGAACATCCAGGGCTCAGTCCCATCTCCTAATCCTGCAGGACCCCACTGACAACCCCCATACAGGGAAGCCCAATGGTCACCAAGCCAGGCTGAGCACGTGGAAGGAAGCACTGGCAGACCCCTGGGGACAGAGCCAGGCTCACCTTTGGTGGGGTAAGTGTCGGCTGGGGCGTTGAGGTGCTCCTCGCTGGAGTTGAGGCTGCTTCCCGGGGACGTGCTGGCACCTGCACACACAAAGCATCAGTCCCTGGCCCCGGCCACAGGCACCCCATGGGCACATTGCAGGAGCAGGGACCGACCGTGCGCGTGGCACGGGGTGCCAGGTCCTCCCTCCTGCTTAGACAGTCCATCTGCTCTTCCCCTGGTACCAGGAATGCTTGGAAAAAGGCAACTGAGCTTCTTTCTTGGGCCAAAGATCACAAAAGGCTGTCTGGGCACAGTCACGAGGACTCTCAGGATTATTACATGGAATTGGGTCCCTCTGAGCTCCCACTTATCCCAAGCCTCCCACAGTCGTGCAGCAGCCAGCCCGGCAGAAGGAGCCCTGGCAGATGTTGGCAGGTCCTGGGCCAGGATCCAGCGGTCATCCCCGCAGTGTTGCTCATCCAGCCCACTGGGGATGAGTCAGGCAGCATCAGCAGAAAGCTCAGTGGTTTTCCATGGAGGAACCCCAGAGCTCCCACACCAACAGACGTCATCCTCCCCCACGGCTCATCATTCCCCAGCCCCAGACTCGCTCTCCAGCTCATCCATTTCATTCCCCAGCCCCAGACTCACTCTCCAGCTCATCCATTTCATTCCCCAGCCCCAGACTCACTCTCCAGCTCATCCATTTCATT